AGAAGCTCGCCACCAGGGCTTTCCCTGAGTCGTAGCCGCCGGGTTAGAGATTTAGCGATTGGACGCTGCGGGGGAAAGCGCTTGTCTCTCCTGCACAGGTGCAGCGGGAAAGGTCATACGCGGTTAAGATTGCGGTTACATTCCCAAAGACTAGGTGGAAAAACAAGAGCGATATTCGAAAAGGGAAAATCCGTTTGCTTCACTAGTTTAAGGGGAAAGTGGCCGGGCGCGGTGGCTCACGCCTGTAATCCAAGCACTTTGGAGGCCAAGGCGGGCGGATCACTTGAGGTCGGGAGTTCAAGACTAGCCTGACCAACATGGTGAAACGCCGTTACATATATATATATGTTTTATACTATCCTCTTAATTCGTGGAAGAAAAATCTGCACTTCGCAATGTCATCTCCTCGCTGCCTTCGCTTTAAGAGAATTGTTATTTACTTAGGGCGCGGGTTCTGGGAGCGCTTGAAAGCAGAGGCATCCGGATGAGTTTGGGTGGCATTCAACTGCTACCCCTTAACTTTGCCCCAAGCCTTTTCATGCCATTATTTTCCACTGCAGCCTATGGCTGGCTTTTCTATTACTTAGTTGTTTTGCCCTCCTCTCCACTCCTTTGTTCTATACACACTCACCAATTAGATGCCAAAAATACAGAATCTCTATATAGGTGTACCTGTCTTTGCTTGGCCTGGATTCAAAGTCGCTGTGCAGGAAGGTACTTGTACCTGCAGATTCGTATGCCAAGGCTGAGCGTCCTCCACTAGCTCCATGGAGCATGACTGGATTTTACCAACTACTCCATGAAGCCACAGGCAACTGGGTCATTTGCTGCTACAAGACTAGGGTCGTGTCTGCTGGCCTGGTTACACACTGATATAGCAGTTAAGTTTGTAAGGGCACATGAAAATGACTGTTAAAAAGCAAAGTGACTAGTCAGGAAGAATAAGTTCCAGAGACGTATTGTACAACATGGTGACTACTGTTAGCAATTTTCAAGAATGTATTGTATTAAGGAAAATTACTAATAGACTTTAGATGTTCTCACCACACACACAAAAATATGTGATGTAATGCGTGTGTTAATTAGCTCAATTTAGCCATTCTACAACATATGTATTTCAAAACAACATATACATAATAAATATATACCATTTTTATTTGTCAAATAAAACTTAAAACTAAGTGATATTTTGAATCTACTTGTGGAGTTACTGAATTTCAAAAGTAAGGAAAACTGAATCCAGCCCCCTACTCCATCCTGCTTGTTTTTCTAGGTATGATTGCTCTGTGTAAGTAATTTGTATAGTCACCTGTATATTTGTGTACACATGTGCCTGTGTGTGCGTGTGCATACCGTTGAAGTTTACACCTATGGAAATTGTCCTAAGTCAGTCTCCTCAATGCCATAGTCACTGAAAAGAAATCCATTGGTTGCAGGGTTATTTTCAACCTCAGAATGATTCTGGAAGGGGAACAGACTTTAGGAATGAAAAGCATTATTTTAAAAGGATTTAACATATTTTCCTTCTCAGCATTGTCCCCAAAGGTAGTAGATTGGATGTTGGAGCACAAGGCTGTTCCTCTCCCACTTCCACAACTGCACAAGAGGAAAAGTGTGAACCCTTAGGGCACCAGCAGACTTGTTACCACCTCTGGCAATGACCCAAAATGTCTGCGTATTCTGAGGTCTGAGTCTCAGCACTCAGAGTTCTGAGTTGTCTCTCAAACCTGCCATGAAGCCAAATTGGAGTTTGCTGGTTGAATTTGTACACACACATACACGCACACACACTCATACACATATTTACAAAGAGCCTGGCAAAATGTCCTGTTCATGATAGATATTCAATGATTACTTGCTGAGTGAATGCATGAACTTATGTGCATATCCATTCTGTCCAAAGCAAGGGTTTTCTTTTTAAACTGAATAACTTTGTATGTACATATGTAATACATATGTGACAAAGAATTGTGTGCCTGGGATATAGGAGGATTTTTATACTTGTTCCTTTTTGCCTTCTAGCTCTTCTGAGTAGCTCCCTCCCTTACGTCCCTGCCAGCGACTTAGGTCTTTACAACCAATTGGTAAAATTATCCCACCCCCACCAAAGCCTGTCAGTCAGCCAGGAAAAGCAAATGCATTGCTTTAGTTACATCCTTGCTTTCCTCACAGATCACACTCATGTTTCTATAAAAGTCCTTGGGTTGATTTCATCCTGCACACCCGTACATTCCTTTAAACTCTCTCTAGGAGGTATACTGATTGGGTTTCACAGGCCTGCAGACAGGCAGGTGGCCTCTGTTAGCCCACCCCAGCCTCAGTCACCATTTTCACAGAGTGGTTGAAGTTCTCAGGAAAGCTTAGGGTCTTAATTTGGGAGTGGATCCACAGTTTCAGAAAGGACAGAAGTCACCGTTCTCACTCTACCTAAGACTAGTCTCATAGTCTGTGTGTGTGTGTTTTACAAAAGCATGCATTTAATCACAATAATGTGACTTCAGAAACTACACACCTAGCACCTCAGAGAGAAGAGTTCAGTGCCAGGACTTTGGAGCTTAGTGGGTCTCAGTCTTGCCACCCAGAAGACCCCAGGTCTTCATCTCTCTGAGGGAGCTGGAGGGTCTTCTAGACCCTAGTCAGGCCTGCCTGCTGCCACCTAGAGGATGCTGATACCCTCTTCTTCCCACCTTGCCCAGGCCTTTTTTTTTTTTTTTTTTTTTTTTTTTTTTTTTCAGGAGTTTCGCTCTTTGCCCAGGCTGGAGTGCAATGGCACAGTCTTGGCTCACTGCAACCTCCACCTCCTGGGTTCAAGTCATTCTTGTGCCTCCGCCTCCCAAGTAGGTGGGATTACAGGTGCCTGCCACCACCCTCAGCTAATTTTTGTATTTTTAGTATAGTGTGGTTTTACCATGTTGGCCAGGCTGGTCTCTAACTCCTGGCCTCAGGTGATCCTCTGCTTCAGCTTGCCAAAGTTCTGGGATTACAGGTGTGGGCCACCCTCCCAGCCCAGACCCTTTTTGATCCTTTCTAAGGGATAGTGGGCTGGAAAGAGCAGCTAGCAGTCTCCCAGTTACTGCACGGGAGGAAAGGAACTAATTTCTCCGCCCTCAGAGCAGAATCAGTCTCCTGTAGCCTGAAGAACCAAGCAAACAGGATAAACAAAGACTCTTCCCTTTCTCTTTCTCCTCTACTCTCCTTTCCCGACCTTTCCTCTAATACTCCCCCTTATATTTTGGAAGTCCCAGAAGTCCATGAAGGGAGTCATCTCTAAAGGCTTTGGCCCCAGAGTCACTGCCTGCTTAATCGGGAGGGTGATGGGGACAGAAAGCTATTTTAAACGCCCCACTTAAAGCCCCCTCCAAAAAAGGAAAACCTAAGGCAAACTGAAATGTTTCAGATCTCATACCCAACCCCTCAGGAAGAACAATATTCCTTTTTTGAATGAGATAGAACAATGATCAGGACTCAGAGTGTGTAGGGGAGAGATGGGACAATGGAGAGGAGTCTAACTTGTTTCTAGCCAAAACAGCTACAAAAAAGTCAAACTGGTTGTCTCTGGAGCAGTTCTGCTATGAGTACCTTCTCCTTTTCCTGCTATGCTCACCGTCGGCCCCCAGGAAAACATACCCCAGGATCCACATGGGAAACAGGAAACCCAGAACCCACAGTTCACTCAGTGAGACGTCTGATTTGAAGCAGGAAACCTGTGAGCCTCAGTTTTTTCACCTGCCTGCCCCACCCACCTCAGAGGCTACGGCCCAGAAGGGCTTTGCCATTGGCTAGAACTTTACTGTTTATAAAGAACCAGAGTGGTGACAACCCAAAGGCATCGTAGTGAAGGGACCTCAGCAGCCTGCAGCCTGCTGCCTTCTTGAAGTTCTCTAGGGGCTACTTTCTGAGTCGCCTTTAAAAAAAACGAACCAAACCCCAATTCAACAGTGTTGAATCAGCTGCTCATTCTACCTGGCCCGCCCCATGTGATCTACAGCCACAATCGCTAACAGTCACCCAGGGACAAATTAAGGAATTGAAAATGCTGAGCTTGAGAAGTCGAATTCCTTACACTTTTTGGGGTCGTTAATCACCCAGCAGAAACAGCAAGCAGGGAAAGTAGCCGGAGGGACAGAAAGACAGTGTGTAGGTCTGTGTGGTGGTGCCAGCGGCGCTCAGGTGGTGGGATTCAAATATAGATGTGGACGCGTGTCAGATGTACTCTAAATGGGCACCCAGCCAGCATAGTTGACCAATCCCAGGACCATTAGGCTGCCCTAATCACCCCAGTTTGACAAAAGAGGAATGTGGTCTCTGCAATTAAGAGACTTGTGCTTGGTTAGGTCGTGAGTCAATGGCCCAGTGAGTCTACTGGTCCACACCCACGCGCGGGTGTTTCCTGAGAGGCACCCGAGTGCGGGGGTGGAGGGGTTACGGGGTGTGTGTATGTGTGTGTGTGTGAGAGAGAGAGAGAGAGGAGAATGAGAGAGAGAGAGAGAGACTGACTTCTGTGCAGACCAGGAAGAGTGAAACTTCACGAAAAGCCACCTTCCGGAGAGGGGAATCCTGACAAATTCAGTCTCTTCTGGAAACGCCAGGAACCCTGGCCCTGGGGTTGGGTACCCTGGCAGGGGGTTCCAAGAAAGACGTGCTTTCTATCTGCGCCCGCCTATGCCAGACTGTGATCCCTTGCCCTTTCGGAACCCACGAGTTTAGGCCTGGATCCCTCTGCTCCGGGGGCGTCGCAGGGCGGCACTAAGGCACCGAACTCCTCTCTCCTCCGTAGTCCTGACCGTGGGGGGCTTCCGGTCACACTTCCTGGCAGGCAGGCTCTGGGGCACAGGGCCGCACTGGAACCTGCCCGGATCGGCTCTTCGCAGCGCTATAGTTTTAGGGACAATTTATTCAGTGAAGCTTCTCAGACAATAGAAAGTTCTGAGGTTTCCTGGACGTTGTGTTCGGGAGGCGGGGCCGGGACCCGCTGACGGCAGTTTCCCAGCCCTGTTCCCCCTCCCCTGCCCCCTCAGCCGCCGGGCGGCAGAAGGAGGCGGCCAGCCTACTCCTGCCCCTCAGCCGGACGAACCGCGGCTGCCGCGCCTGTCACCTCTGCACCTGCCTGGCTGAGGTGAGATGCCTGGCGCGCGCTGTGAGGGCGGTGCGCGCAGGCCAGCGCAGAGCTGTAGGGCCTGCCGCGGGGTCGAGGACTTCGAATGACGGGTGGGAGAAGGGCCTGCGAGGCAGGCAAAGAATCACCCTCGGGGGAGTGGAAAGAACATACAATTTTAGGTGACCTAGGTAATGGTCCTAGCTTTGCGGCTCAGGAACCTGGGACCATTTAACATCAAGTGGTAGGGACGTTGGTTTCCTTATCTGGAAATGAGAATAACACGGTTGCCCCACCCTCCCAAGGTGGGGATAGCTCCCAGATCGGAGATGCAGACCGGTGGGCGGCTAGGGAGAGGTAGAACTCAGGGCAGGAAAGAGCAGGCGCGCTCTCAGCTGCTTTAACCCAACCTTCTTTAGCAGAAAAAAATTTAAATTTAAAACAGAAATGGCCACATAAGGACAATTCAGATGAAGGGCAAGCGGACTGACATCGCGCACTTGGGTCTTTCCTGGAAAGACGGCGGCGCTGTGGGAGAAGCCTAGTCCTCCGGCTTGTCCCAGGACCCGCCCCGAAGGGCGTTGGGAGCGCGGTGAGGACGTGGCTGTCCCCTTGCGCATCTCACTCCGGAGACAGGTTCCGCATCTCGGCCGCTTGGCTCCAAGATAATCTGGCGAAAGTTTAGAGGCGGCCAGCCCCTCCCGGGGACTCAGCCCCTAGATTCAGCTTCTTCAGCAAGAAAAAACCTCCCACGCCCTGCGAACTCGCAGCGTGCCTCTCCGGGCTTCCGGCGTGGGAGTCCCAGCTACACTTTCGAGCCCTTTGCTTGGTCCGCATCTATCAGCTCCTCGATTACGGAAAGCGCAGTGAGGACGGAGGGAACTGCGGCCTCACGTACCAGGCCTCTGTAGTCCCCCACGTGGCTGGGTCACAAGGAAGCAATTCCACAATTAAGAACCCCGCTAACCTCTGCCTGGAAAACGTGGTGCTGATCTAGGTCTCCCAAATAATCTGAATATCCCCAGTCCTTCCGGTAGAACAGCTAGCCTGAGCGCAGGGACAATTGACCAGGAGGAGCCTTCAGCTATCCTTCTAGCTTTGAGCTAGAGTAGGGGAATGGCGACTTGGTGGCTTCTTCACGGTTTATTGGTGTATTTGGTGACGCTGCAGATCCGGATAAGCCCCCTTCATTCTCTTCCTCACCATGTACACCCCGCGCGCTGGGCAAGTCGGCGTCTCTAGAAGAGCCTCAGGGTTCTGAGTCCCTTGGGGGCGCGCAGAAATGGTCAAGGCAAGGTTTCTTCACAAGCTCTGAAGCTATTCCCTTCCCCGCTGCGCACCCTGCAAAATTTCTGGAGAAGAGCATTTAAAATACAATAGCCAAAATGCAGTGTTGAGAACACTTTGAAGTTGGGCAACCTCGACTGCGTCACTCTCCCCCTCTTTCGTCCCCATCTCTCCGCTCCTCCAGATGCACCAGAAAGTCGATCAAAGTGTCGACTTTGATCTTGCAAAGCAGCAATTTATATTTCTTTAATTTTTTTCCTGTAAAACGATGATTGGACCGGGGAGAAAATAATGCAATTCCGCGGGCACAGAGATGAAGAGCGGCTGTCTAGGCTATGCCGGGGCGAGGCGAGGGCAGCGTGCACATCTGTTTCCCCCGGGTTTGCAGTTTGCATTGCCTTCCTCTTCGCCAGGTTTCTAAACCGCCCCGCCCCCGCCCCCCACCAACTTTGGTTGTTTTTTGTTCTCTCTCTCTCTCTCTCTACCCCACAATCCTCCCTCTTCCCTCTCTCTCTGTCTCCTCTCTCTGTCCCCCTCCACCTGGGAACCAGTTTTACCCCAGGCAGGAAGGTGGGCTTTATTTGTCTTTGACCAGGAGTTGCTGGGCTTACTGTGGGGGCTTGGGGAGTGCAGGAGGGAAAGTCAAGGCTGAGGCTCCAGTTTGGGGAAGTGAATTGAAGAGACGGGAGAGGAGCTCAGAGAGAAGACCATCTGCTGCCTTGGAGAGGAAAACTCAAAAGCCCTGCACCCTCTTCCGTAATAGTGGAGGGGTGGGGGCCGCCTCAGACTCAGTGAGTGGAGGGCCAATATTAGCTAGTTCTCCCGCGTCTTTCCTGCCACTCAGAGCACAGAGATTTACTGGAATAAGTCTGATGTGCAACCTTTCTCAGCACTTTGCCTAATAACCTCAAATTGGATTAAGATTTGGGAAAATATTAACTACTTAAAGCGCCAAACCCATCTCGGCTTCCCACTAATTTCTCCTACCCTCGCGCTAAGCCCAAGATCCCTCCCTTCTGTGCCTGGGTCAACCTGGCCAAACTCCCACTGCTCTGGGCCCTGCTGGGTCTTCCACTTCCTGGGGCCTCAGCCTCTTGGCCTTTTCTCCTGATAACTAGTGCTTTCTGGCCTCCCAGGGTACTCTGTCTCCAACACGTCAGTGTTGGAGAAAGGAGTTCAGGAGACCCACCCCTACCTGGCCTTCAGTCTGCTGGCTGGTTCCTCCAGCCACACCCCTCCCCTCATCCCCAACTCTCCCTCTTCCTAGTCTCCTCAGGAGGCTGCTTTGTGCTAGGAACTCTTTGCCCAGTCCTTCAAATCCCAGGCAGTGGGCCATCCTGGCTCTGCTATACATGATGTGATGGACTTGCTCAGAAGACAGGTTCTAGAACCCCTAGTCCCCTGCCAGTACCTCAAATCCTGACAGTGCCCAGCTGCTTGGGGAAAACGGGCCAAGGTGGGGGGCACTGATATATGCCCCAGACAGAGGTGTGGCCAGGGTCTCAGTAACCCAGAGGCAGTGCTAACCACTTTCCTTCTATTTTTCTTTCCCTTTTTTCCTTTCTCCATTCCTTTTCTTTTTTCCATTCCTCTCCTTCTTTTTTTCTTAAATTCCATCTTCTTCCATTCCCTGTCATGTTCGCCTAGGTTTCATTAGCCTTTCTCCATTCCGTAGGGCTGCAATCCACATTCCTCAGGCCCACAGAGGCTGCTAGGATACTTGTCCACCGGCATCTCCAGCCCTAGAGAGAGCCCGTGGGGGATGCTGTGGGGAAACTGGCAGCAAAACAGGAGCAGCTGGTGTCAGAGCCCTCAGGAGCCTCCCAGAGCCCAAGGCCCAGGTGAGGTCTCGGTGACTCCACTTTGCACATACCTTTCCTTTGAGCATCTAAGGTTTCCACTTACTCACCTTCCCCACAGTCTTCCCCAGGAGATAGGTACCAGCTGGGCTTCCCGTCATAGGTTTAAAAAATTCAGGAAAAATAGATGGAAAGAAGCCAAATGGGGGTCCCTGGATGATAGGAGAGGCTGCCCCAGTCAGCTGGCTGGGTGAAAAAATGCATCTGTAGCACTGAGGAAGCTCCCCCAGCGGGCTGAGTCATTAGGGAGGATAGGAGGGAGATCCAGGGGCGGCACAGGGCAGACGACTGGACATCCGCACCAAGGAAACCCAGACAACACCTTACCTCAGAGTTTTAATGCAGCGTTTGCACAGAGCAAGACGGCCAGTGAGACTGGATTTGCCATCAAGGGGAAAGAAAAAGTAGCCCAAGAGGCTGCCAACATTCCACTGAGAAACCCAAAATGGGGAAAAGGCAAGAGTAAAGAGGGGAGGTCGTCTTGCATTTCACCCTCTTCCCGTTCCCTTCTGGATCCCACAGGAAGCAGTGGTTGGGGCCTGGTCCAGGGTGTCCCAGGGATTAGCTTCTTCCCCCCAACCCCCAAAAGCTTCCTTTACTCCCAGCAGCCCAGGAGGCCCTCCAAGGCCAGCCTTTGCTGGGGGCAGGTGGGAGGGGTCTGGAGTAGGGTAGGGTGGGAAAGAGCTAGACCTGTGGCCTCTGCCAGGGGAGGAAGCTGCAGCCACCCAGGCGGCTGAAATAAGACCAAACTCACTCCCCTAAGCGGAACTCCTCTAAGCCCAGAGGTCTAGAGGGATTTTGCGGCATCACTGCCAAGGTGCATCTTTTGAGGGGTGGGGTGGGGATTTCGATGGGGTGGGGTCTGTCTCTCTCTCATCCAGCTGTGCTTCCCAAGGCTGGTCTGTGGCTTGACAGGAGCCATTCAAATTAAGCCAAATCTTTTTTTTCCCAGGCTGAGGTTTTCCTTCTGAACTCTGGGGTGCTGCACCTTTCCATTTGTCTCCAAGGACCTGTGAGGTTTCCCTGTCTTTTTTCTCTCGAGAGGAATCTGATTTACAAGTCCTCAGCTACTCTGATAAATAATTGACACCAATAAGTCTCCGAACCTTAAGACCATTTCTTATTTGCATTTCAAGTGGATCTGAGGTGTAGGGATGACAATTAAAAAAAACGGAAGACCCCTGAGTTGAGCCCTGTGAGTGTGTGTGTGTGTGTGTGTGTGTGTGTGAGTTTGGGGGTGGGCGAGGGGAAACTCAGTTTGGAAACATTTGAGGGCCCACCATAGGCAGCTGTGTCCCACTAGAGGCCATCACAGAGTGATGGAGATAGCTCCCATGCTGTATTGACACACTTTGTCCTCAGGGAGCTCCCAATTGGCAGGCGGAGATGGTCTGCTTGGCACTGGCTACAGACCACCACTGCAAGGGCAAATTCTACTTAAGATGTAATTGCTGTTACCAGCCTACAAGTGGTGGGGGATCCTCAGCCAAGAGAATACTGGTGGGTGGGGTTAAAGGTCCGGAAACCTTCAGAGAACAGGTGGCTTTGGGGTTGAGTCAATAAAGGGTAAAAGCAGTGCAAAGGCGGATGCTTTTGAGCCCAAGCTGACTGGAGGCCGAGAGAGAAGGCTGGCCAAGGGCTGGTCTGAGGTGAGCAGCGGGGACCCGCTGAGCAGAATAAGAGCTTAGCAGCATGATCCCAGTTGACTGCCCCTAGTTCTAGGCAACTGCCTCCAGGGTCTCTTCCTAGAAGCAACTGCTGTGGCTTCTGCAGTGATAGTGTTCTGTTGGGCACCTGGCTGGGCCATGCTTTGAGTACTGTCAGAGTGCGGGACACTGCCCCATCATCCCCTTGCTGGAAAGGATGCTTTGAAGTCCTCTCACGTGTATTTTAGATTTTTTGGGCAGGCATGGTTTTTTGGTCGTTGTAAGACAGTTCCATCAGGGCTCCATCTTTCCCTGCTAAGTTACTTGAGTCAGTTGCAACCAGAGAGAGCCCAGGTGTGCACAGCGAAGAGCTGAGGGTAGAGGTGCTGAGAATTCCAGCCCTAGAATTCTTTTTAGAATTTTACCTGCATTACAAGCTGTGAAATCTTTGCCAAGCCGCCTCACTCCTTCGCACCTCAGTTTTCTCATGTGTAAAATGGAGCTGGTAATCCTAGTTCTTGGCTTGTAGTGCTCGGAGCGGGTGACACAGCTCCAGGTAGAGCACTTAGGACGGGGTCAGGCACGGAGTAAAAAGCCCAGTAAATATTAATGTTTCTTAATTGGTGCAGACCAGAAGGAGAGGAGATACAGAATGAAACCTGGTGACAAGAGAAGGCTGTGGAAATAAACACTTATTTTGTTTCTCTCTGCCTCTGGATAGCAAACACTTTCTGATGCTTTGTGAGCTGGCTCAGAAGTTCTCATTTCCTGTGGTAAAGGCAGCCAAGGATAGTCATATTTGTTGTTAGTGAAGCTTCCATCCACCATAGTGTCACTGGCCCTTGCCTCCCCGCAAGAGTCCTCAAGCCTCGAAGGCCTCTAATGCCACAGATATAATTGATAATTAGGAGAAGATGGATTCATGAATGGTTACATTTTGGAAATTCCTTCATTCTCCTAGATTTGTAGGCTATCTTAGGAAGCCCTTGGAAAGTATGTGAATTAAGTATTTTTCTTGGTTACAGATGGACAACTTTCCTCTCCGCTGGCTTCCCAAGGGACTTAGCAGTGGGCCAGAATACAATGGCTCTTGTGGCTGTTTCAATGGGACCAGCAGTGGGACTATTTTGCCCCAACTCTTCCCCAGCAGCAGCTCAAT